CAAATGTATAGAAAAATATTTATTTATTAAATACCAACATTTACATATCCGAGGGCTTATATCCAATTCTTCCCATTTGAAAATTTCATAAAAACTGATAATAGAACCCATCTGGGACTTAACTGTCACCACTGATATTAATTCTTACTTTGCAATCCAATAGTTAATTCCATGATAAAAACATGGTTAATTCTACATACAACAAACGATATGCAAGATTAGATTTATCATGGTCGATGATAGGTGGGTTTTTGTATCAGAATCACAATTTTGTGAAAATTACATGGGTATGGTATATAAGCCCTCGATATATCAAGGAACATATGGTTACTATCGATCAAAATGCCCCACTTGACCTTTTTTCTTTTTGATTGGTAGTGTTTAAGAGGTAGGAATATGATGTATTGTGGAACGATTTTCCGGCAACCGAAACCGGATTTTCTGCAAACCAAATTTTATGTTTATTTTTTTTTTTTACTTCATCAAACTACCATATAAGCACTTCCAAAAAATAACAAACAAAAAAAATTTTTATAAATTTGAAATTGGTCAAATAGATGGGTATTGCATTGATGATAAATCTGTATGTATGTATGTATATAAATCGACTCCTACGATTATAACCGATGCCTGCTTAAGTGTACGATTTTCTTCCTGCACCACTTTGCATTTGATTTTAAATGTGTCTAGTTCAGCCTTGAGTACTCTGTAAAGACGCAAATTGATGTATTCGTTATTATTTAACAGCAGGTATACGAACTAATCGTACTTATTTTGTTGTGTCAACGACTCGATGCGCTTTTGTAATTGTTCGCGAGATACTGGACTGGGTGGAAGCATAGTACCTCCATCTAGGGAGCTTTCNGTGTACTTTTAAGGTATTTGTAATGGTATCCTCACTTTTTAAGTGTTGGGAAATTTATTATATTTCGTTAATAAACGGGCCGATAAATTATGTAATACCTAGGGCCTGGATTCTTATGCGCTAAAAAAAAAATCAAAATTATGCGCATATAATGTGCACTAACAAATAAAAAAATGCACTAAC